ATGGACAGTAGTTACTTCGCCTTTTAGGTGTTTAAGTGGCTGCTCACTTGATTGCCTCTTTATAATAAAAAAACTTCACACATACAATTATGTATATTGTTTGTTTAGTGTACATATATACTATTATAATATAGCGTAAAGACACACTTCTTTGTTGCCTAAGATCTCAGAAATTACAGCATATTTTTGGATAATTCTTTTTTTAATACAAAGCCCTACACTTCCGCCATGCTTTGAGGCTATATATTTTCACGCCATTAAACTTAGGGGGTAAATATTTTGGATAAAAACCCTAATGTGGGAAAGAGACCATAAGTTGCTGCCAACATCAAGTAAGCAAGATTGCCGAGTTTTGTCATGTCATGTCATTTTGACATTTGCAATTGAGAATTTGACACATGTAAACAATAAAATTATTTTATGTTAATGAAATCGCATGGGAACAGCTAGTCCATAAAAAAAAAACAAATAGATTTGAGATCTTTCTTGTATTTGCAGTTGGTTAGGAAATATTTCTACAGTTTATTTAGATACAACATTGCTATTTTTTGACTACAGGGTCTTAGTGTTTTGTGTTAACTATTAAATGGAGTGTTTTTAACATTGACTATTTTATAACAATTTTTTTAAACTTAAAGATATAAAAACGTTAAAGTACATTTTACCGGATGAAAGCATTATAACAGTTTTGTGAAAAAATAATAAAACTCAACGGTACAAAAGCAATAAACCGATAATTGCTTTAAAAATTAGTAAATTTAATTTGATAAAGTTTTTAAATAGATATACTAAAAAATTAAACAAACTGATTGACAGTTTATGTGTGTCTAAATCAACCTTTTTATGAATAAATTTAAATGTTATATGCAGATTATATAAGATAAAACTCTATTCTTCAAGGGGTCAATATAAGCTTATATTAACAAAAGTGCAATATGCAACACAGTAATGATAACAAGATCAAAGAGCAATTGGATGTCTGGATATTGTTAGCATGACAGTTGATAACATTATTATTAACTAACTGTTGCCTGCGACTTCGTCCGCATGGTATTAGAAAACATACAAACTTTATAAATAACAAAAAGCTACATATCCCTCGGGAACTGGACATTTGTTGGGGATGAACCTTACGGCATGTGTACTCCAGACTTTGTTTTATATTTGTGCCAAATTTCAATAATATATGTTGAACCATTGCAGAATGATTGAGTAAACATTAAAAAACTAAATTAATGAATACCACAGGGACCGTAACTATTCCCGGGATAAAAAGGAGCCTGTGTTCTTCCAGACTATGCTCCAAACCTGTGCCAAATTTCATGGAGATCTGTTCAGCCGTTTAGGCTACAAACGCTAACAAACATTCATCCATCCATCTTAACTTTCGCATTTATAATATTTATATGATTATATGATACATATCATATTGTTTCCAAGATAAAGATGTGTTATGAAGCCAGATTATATTGTTTTCATGAATTATTGACTTATTTTAACTATCTATACAGTTGGTTAGCTGTAAGGATAAATATAATGTAAGAATGTCTTATTAGAATTCGTAAAAACAGTTCATTTACAAAATATTATTTAAAAATTCATACCAAATAAAATTTCTTACATGATTATTACCTTACAAAACATTATTTAAAACAACATTACTGCTTACTAAACTACATTGTAAAAGCTAAGAGTGTTAAGATGTGTTTAGAAGCTAATAGAGAAATTTCATACAAACTAGACATCGAATCTACTTTCGATATATGTGCGGATGGCGATTGCGGCCATCGTAAGGGATATTTTTAGAACCAGACTCAGCTAGCTGAGCAACAGACAGAAAGAAGCTATTATTTACAGTACGGTCTGAAAATGTACTAATGAAAAGACCTAGCCAAACCGACTCCGATTCAGCCAGCGAAATAAAAAAAGAAACTATGTGCAAAGTGGCAGGCGCGAGTGTCAATTGCCAACGGACGACATAAAATAGAGACATGCAGTTTCTTTACGGTTTACCTCCGTCGTTGTCCATTTCAATATTTATCGAATGTATAGCTGGCAGACACCTCACGGCCGTCCTTCGGTGGCGCACATTTACTTTAACTTCGTCATTATAGCACTGAACGGAACGCACTTTACGTTTTAGACTGCTTCTACGAACTTTGAACACAAAACCTCACTGGTTAGTAAGCGATCAGGAAATAATACACGCGCGGTCGACTTCACTATACGTAAACTAAAGACGTACCTCCTCGGGCATGATCCTATAATAACTGGCTCTTCTTTCGTCCAAGGAACTAGTTATCAAGGTCTCGACGAAAACAGCATGCACGCATCCATAAACTTAACACAAATTAGTACGACACTGTACACACCTTTGGTTTAATTTTACCGCAATTCGTAAAGTAACAACAAATGTTAAACACAATTTTAATGAAAAAAAAATAGACGAAAGACGATCGGCAGAAGTTAACACTTTGTCGTCCGACGGAGTGAACGTCAAATCAAAATGATGATAATTCGTAACTGTGTGTGTGGGGCCGCGAGACGCACACTAATGGGGAATGTTACCTATTGGTTGTAATTCGTCACATGGGTATAATGACGAATGCGGATGCCGCGCATGCGTAGTGCGAATTCAAAACTTTTTAACATACGAATGAGCGAGAAAAAAACAAAACATTTACTATCCAAGTTGTTCCACCGTTTCCCGCGTTTTATTTTTAATTTATTGCCATATATTAAGCTAAGAATTGTTCTAACAATGTTTTAAATTCTTTAAAACAATGTTTTAAATTCTTTAATACATTGTGAAAAATTTTTTCCATGTTAACAAGTGATTTGTTTTCCTGCAAGGTTAATTGCCATCTGTAATATTTTTCTATTTTATCTCGCAACTTACTGTCTCAAATCTGTTAATTTAGCAACCCCTGTGTGAGTCATCGGCTCTTTGAAGAATCCTGTAATGCGTGGGACGTTTTCAGAGGCTGAAATATATTTTAGATTACAAGGCATGAGTCACCGCTACCCTTACGTATTTTAACTTAACAACCATGTTTTGCTAGAGGGTAGTCATTTAAAAGGTTAGCTAATATACTGTACTCAAATAAATAAGACTTTCGCTATTATTCCTTTGAGTTTTGTGTCGATATCGATACCGAAATTGTAAAAAGTTTTTATGAAACCCAGTTTCGTCGTCCACGAAATTCATATTTGTATAAATGTAGATACACCCTAGTTATATTAAAAAAAAACTACATTATAAGCGATTTGAGTAATTTAGAAAGTGTGTCTTTACCGGCAAATGTTTGAAAATACTAATCTAGACTTTTTCATAACGACATATTTCAGTTTGTGAAAAGTTAAAGCGAAGATAGCAAACAAATAATTTAGCGTATTACAAAGTTAATCTTTACAAAGCAGATGAGAAACAAATTTTTTTTTTTGTTTGTATAAAAAAAACCATAGTTATGAGGAAGCTTCTTATCTTCGACAACGTGATTATCTAGATTAAGGTGTGAGTCGGTACCTTTAAGGGCTACGATTTACATTAGGATAATGATAACCGCCTATATAATTCATTCATTCATTTATAAAACGAAAACTGGCCAAGATTTACAACCATTTTACTTGCTTTTGCCAACAGTACTCAAAATTTCTCATACAAAATTTATATTAAGAGTGTTCCTAGGCATTATTTAACGACTTTTGGTGAATAAGGGATTAATAAATGGAAAACCTAGAGAGCGGTTATGGCTGTGCGGCTAAGTGCACTGGTGAAAGAGAGGTCTAAAAAAACATACAGACGAATTGAATACCTCTTTCTTTTGGGAAGTCGGTCAACAAAATATAAAAAACCGTTCCAATACAGTTCAGTTGGAATAAATTTGTTCATTTTCCTGTTAGCATCAGCTTATACAAGCATACCAATTTGTGATTAGAAAGTTCGTTCGGGGCTAGTTTGTTTTGCAAGTACAGGTGACTCAGTATTGGCGGCAGCAGCGGCGCGATGTCGGCCTACAGGTTGTCTATGGTCGCGACAAGGTGGCGTGAGGCGACGTCTGGCGGCGCGGCGGCGGCAACGCGCCTGTCACTTCGCGTGTGGCGCCAAACCTGCCATTTCACCTCTTTCAAAGCGTTTTTATTACAACCCTTGTCCTTTCTCCCTATTTTACCCTCTTTTTGAATTGCGTAGTATTACGCGTTTTATAAAATAAGTAATAAGGTGGTGTTGAATTTTTAATTAGGCTGTGCGATAATGTGCGTATACCTACAATAGTGTTCTTATTTGATTTTTTACACTTTTTGTGATAAGATCGTTAATTCTTATTTATTTTATAATTTAATCGTCAATCGTAATGTTTTTATAAAATTAACAGCGCAAACTTGTAACTAACTATACATGACTTTTTTAAATGTTAATTGAAATACCTACATGTTGATTTGCTTCGTAATTGCTTACTTAAAATGAGTGATTAGATCGAAATAATCGAATTTTAGATTTTTGTCTTTCTAGACAACTAATAAAGTGTTATACCTAAAATTAAAAAATAAATATTGACACATTATAAGCCTACAGGTACAAAGGCAGTCAAAATGGCGTCAGGGCGATACGATCAGGAATAATTTAAAGTGCGAGGGAGCGCCGCGGCGCCAGCCGGAGCGGCGCCCTGGCCCGAGCCCCACGCGGGGCGAAGCCCGACTGGCGCCGGCCACGAAGGCACCACTCACTCTACCAGACAAATAACTTTGTACAGGAGTAAATACCCTCGCTGTTTAGATATCATAAGCAATATGTAGGAGTGCTAGTTTTGTGTACATTTTTTTGGTGAAATGTTTTTTTGGAGATAAAAAATGCGAAAAAAATCCCGGTACTTAACTGTTACTGAAACTTAAATATCACGCCCCCCTTTCACCATCAAAAATATAATTTTAAAATCTCTTTCATGTCAAACATCATGAATGTAATCGAAAGACTGGCTGCATCTTTTTCCACACGTTCGAAAAAAGCAACAATTAATTCAAACTTACGACAGCTTTCAATCTGACAATCGTTTTTAAAGAGATCATTTGTTGCTAATCGAATTTATATTTATAAAATGCTGGATCAATCACCGAAAATGGCGCAACACGCTTCGCCGCCTGTCCGCACCGGCGCCGGAGACATCTCCGAGCGAGAACTGTCCCGCGAGTGGTACAGCCTCTCGACCACGCCCACTGCGTGAGTATCGTATGGGTTTCGTCTAGCTGACTGCTGTTAAATGGTTATCAGTCCCATTTTTAGCGATCAAATAAAAAAGTGCTGCTGTTCGTAAAACTATGTATAATGAAACACTGAAGATAACAAACGTTAAAGAGATCTCGTTCGTATATAACTAGATGGACACGCTTAGTTAGCATATGTCAGTCTTTTTCTTGGATGCATGAAGTCCCTATAGAGATAGACAATAGAAATCTTCCTAATATTATAAATAAGAAAGTTTAGAGGGATAGATGTTAGTTTGTTTTCTTTTTTAATTCCACGCGGACGGAGTCGCGAGCGAAAGCTAGTAACTACTAAACTCTATCCGTGTGTTACTAGTACTTAACTAATACGGAAATTTATAAGATTTACATGTTGAAGTAAATGTAACCACAAGGCCACGTGGGCTAAGACTACTGGGATGATAGTCTACAGACGATCAACATTGTTTTTTTCCCTGTGGTGACGAACGTCTAGCGTCATGGGTCTACGCATTTTGTCACTTTGCTTCGTGTTTGTTCTAAGAGACATCCTCAATCAATCAAGACTCATCTAAAATATGTGTTAATTTAACTACTGGTGAAATAATTTGTAGACCAGACATTAGGAACTTCTGCATATAATGACATGTCAAATGTAGTTATTTGCTAAAGTCTCAGGTTCTAAGTATGACAAGTAAAGTACAGACAAGTAAGACACGTATTCAACAATGACTTGTTTACAAGCAATGTTTATTGCACCACAATTTTGAAATGTCATTGTTGTTTCATAAGTAAATATTAAAAGTAAATAACTTGTCCCTAATATCTTCAGGCATTGTCTGTCCCATAAATTTTCCTCGAGGAATTAAAAATATAACCACTTAGAAATCAGATCCTTTCAGCCGTTCTGAAGATACATGGTAACAAATATCCATCCATCCAAACTTTCGCCTTTACTTATAATTATCTTACTAATATTATAAATGCGAAAGTCTAGATGGATGGATGGATGGATAGATGATTGTTGGAGTTTGTAGCCTAAACGGCTAAACGGATGGCTTTTTGTTATTTATATACACGCAGACGAAGTCGCAGGCAACAGCTAGTTAAGAATAAAAGTTTGATAATATAGTAATAGCTTTGGGTTTTTTTTTTATTTAATTATTGGTGATCTTGCTTGTTTTGTAGCCGTGTGCAGCCTGCGCACCCTCGCAAGCAGGTGCACTCAGTGCCGGTGAGCAAGTTCGGCCGCGGGCAGGCGCCGGGCCGCAACCTGCACCGCATACGCAGCTGCCTCGAGGAGCTGAGCAAGCCGCCGCCGCCGCCCCGCGTCGCGCACAAAGCCGCCTCGCTGGAGGACCTTACGCCCAGCAAGAAACTAGCAAAGAGAAGGTCCGGGAACCAGTTGGGAAGCATTAAACTATTAGGAAGTAGTGAATAGGCCGAATCTGTATTGTCTAAAATTATTAAGAATGTTTTGGCGTGGCTCTTCCCAACACACATGGAATCGTAAAGTCAGCATTGGTGGTTAATAAGGGTTTCTTGTTTCTTTGTACACCGAGTAGTCTCAACATTTCTTTGGAGTGCAGTTGGTTTGTTGTATCAGGAAGGAGGCCGAGGGCGCAGTGTCTGGTGCGGGGAGGTGCTTGGGGCCGCGCGTGTTGGCGGAGGAGCAGGCGGCGGCGCGCGTGGCCCGCTTCATGCTGCTGGCCGCGTGGCGCCGCCGCCGGCACGACCTGCGCTGTCTGCGTAAGACCCTCGAGGTCCAGGTAACGTGCTCACGTTGAGGTATTTTTTTCACCGCCATATAACGCTCAACATTAGGTAATATCGTAGTGAACTCAAAAATACGATACAATGTTAAATATTAAAAATATAACTTTTTGCATGCGTGAGGAAAAGGCTTTAAAGGAGCAATGACCTATTAAGTAAATGGCATTTTAATTTTAAATTAGTGTCGATGTAGGCGTCCTGCGGCGAGGTGAGGGTTGCGTGGTCAGCTGGGGTAGTGGTGATAGAGCAGGGGTTGTAATGCAGGGGGCGCGCGGCCTTCAGTGCGATCTGTCGCAATCGCAAGGGTTTGGTGTTAGCACAACCTGCTTATCGATCAATAAGTCATGCATTTATAAATTTATTTTGATAATTGACGTAATTAAACACTTAAGAATATTATTCTTATTTTGTAATGGACATCTCAACGGAACGCACTTGACCGTTTGATTGTTGGTTGCCAGTCTCCACAATGCAATACAAGCAGCAGCAGCAGTAGGGCAGGAGTTGTGTGCAGGTGAGCAGCAGCGAGCGGCTGCGGGTGCAGGTGTGGGCGCTGAAGTCGCTGCTGGAGGCGGACGGCGGCAAGCTGCGGCTGGGGCTGCGCGAGCTGCAGCGCCTCAAGCAGCTGCTGCACGACAGGGACGCCGAGAAGGCCCTGCTAGAGAAGGTGGGGCTTACTGGCTGCGGCGCCGGGATACTCCACTTTAATAGTTCCTTAAAAGAGTCGTGATTAATTCGACAGGAGAAGCGGGCGCTCGAAGGTGACGTGAGTGCGGCGGAGGACCGCGCCTCCGAAATGAGCATCGGTGAGACTTTCTTCATTGTTTAAGGTAGTAGTTATTTCGAGATGTAATTGTATGTGTGCGTACCTGCGGGCAGGCTGGCGCAACTGTCGCAACGAGCTGGAGGCGGCGGGCGCGGCGGCGCGGGCGCTGGAGCGCGCGCTGGCGCTGCAGCTGTCGGCGCAGGCGGAGCTGGCCGCGCAGCGCGACGCCGCCACGCAGTCGGTGCGGCTCAGTGTGCGTAGCGCGGCGTACTGTCAAGTGTTGTCTGGTGTGTTGTGAGTGTTGGGTGTGCAGGTGTCGCGGCTGGGGGGCGAGGTGCGGCGCTGCGAGGCGCTGCTGGGCGCGCTGCAGGCGGAGGCGAGCGCGCTGTGCGCACAGCTGGCCGACAAGCAGCGCGCGCTGGACGCGGCCGCGCTGCAGCTGCACGCCGAGCGCCAGTGAGTACACAGCTTGCGACTAGCGGCTGCTGGAGACTGGCGATGCACGTGTGGTTAACTACTGGGTGTGTGGGGCAGGGCGCGCGGGCGCGGGGCGGGCGCGCGGCTGCGGCTGGCGGCGCGGCTGGCCCTGGCGCAGCGCGCGGCGGGTCAGCAGCGAGCGGCGCAGGCGCGGCTGGAGGCGGAGCTGGCTCAGCGCGACCACCAGCTGGTGGAGGCGCGCGCCCGCTGGCTGCCGCACCCGCTGCTCAGGTTTGTTACTTTTTAAAAGTTGTTTATCAAAATTTTGTGTGATATGACTATAATATTTGTGCAGGCTGGCGGAGTGCGCACGCTGCTTGCTGCGGCCGCGGTGCTCCTTCCGCGACGTGTTCATCTGGTCGCTGCTGGCGGCGCGCCGCGGCTGCTGACTGCCCCGCACTGCCCCGCACTGCACCGCACTGCCCCGCACTGCACCGCACTGCACCGCACTGCCCCGCACTGCACCACATGTGGCAACACCGGCAATACAACACGAAACATGACGTCTAACATTTGGCGCCGTTTTTGACCGCTCTGTTAAAATATTTTTTTTTAAGCTGGCACAGGCCTCCAAGTAAAAGAAATTAGGTAAACAAACGGTAAGTAATTTTAGACATATTGATATACCTAAGTTTTGTAGATTATGTTTAGGATTTTTTAATGAATTGTTACTAGTTTATATCACACGTTAAGTGTAATTTTAAGGATTGTACAAAAATAAATTTTACTTTTAAAAGTCGTGTTTTATTTTGCTTTTAAATCTGTACGTAGTCATTTCATCCATATAGTATAGGCGTGGCCATCCAATAATTTATGGTAGATCTAGGAAGCTTACAATTAAGGCAGACTTAATCGTAGCGGTTTTTTTTTTGATTCTCCAAGCGTCAGGTATACGAGAGGAAAATAAAAGATTGTTTCACATAAATTGATTTTATTTCAGTCTTACAGCGCTAATCAACAGACTACATTAAAATAACATTTGGAATGGTTTCTATCACACGAGGATCGATATGACGCAACATAAACGATCCACAAATTCTACACATCTACAGATCATTTAAAACCGATCAGAACAAAATAATGTGCCTCAATTTTACCACCCAGATTTTTATTTCTCTCATATACTTTGAGAAAAATAAAATAGAAATATAGTTTTCTACGGATATTCTCCTCTAATCTTAACAGAATGTAGACATGTATATTATAGTCGATTTGTCTTAGCTCCGCGCCCCGCCCTGGCCTAGCGCACTCGCTAATGACAGTGCCGACGTCAGAGAAGGGCGCAGTTGGGCTATCGCCCAGGGCGTTAGAAAAAAAGGGGCGCCACAAGTCCGCGAATTTCACAAGGATATTACCAAAACTAATAAAGTCGCCGTAGAATTTTGCCCAAGGCAATGGTAATGCTAAAAACGGTATTAATAGATTATTTTGATAAGGCAAATATAATCTTCAAGAGCATTTTATTTTGCATAGTAAAATGACGTCATCTGTCCAGGCCTCAATTTAATTCGTACGAGTTGTACGTGCGACGATAAAATAAATATCATGACTAGAACTCATTGGTACTTATCAACTATATTTCTACAAATATCTAGAATTAAACAACATTAAATAAATATAATTTTTGTCTTAAACTAATTTTAACTGCAAAAAATTACAGTTATATTTTATTACATTTCACAAACCATGTTTACGATATCTAAATAATTACAAATAAATTAATCAGGACCCGTCCCACCTTTGGCTGATAGAGGTTCAGATAGCTTAAAAACGTCACTGTCAGATAAGTGAACAAAATCCTTATTAAAACTTTCGTGAGACATTATACTATATAAATTATAACACGGCTAAACTCACGTGATAACACTCGGTCACCGTCGCGACGAGTATACCCGATTAATCACTCACCCTGAAGAAGGACCCCCAACGGGTTCGAAACTGTCGGTGCCTACACCGAATGTTATCACGTGTGTTTAGCCGTGTTATAATTTATATAATGAACAAAATCCGATATTTCCATCACATATTTTTCACGTTCGATTGTTATGAATTTACAATTTGGTGGGACACCTTTAGGTATATAATAACTTTAGTATTTAGGCCAGAGCATGTTATGATAGATTCACAGATTTAATTAGTAAATTAGGCTTCATGTAAATTGCGTATTTTAAAGTCTTCAATAATGTGAACTAAAAGCTATAGTTTAGTCAAATGACTTTAAGAACAGATTACTTATTTTGATAGGGGTTATTTGACCTAAAATCTTGTCAGGGTTCATATCAGATTACAAAATGCATAAATTGTAATGAGTATGAAACACAGATATTTAACTCCCTACATAATAGAAAATATTTATATTTTAGTCAGCATTTTACCTAAACTACGAGTACAATAACATTGTAACTTTAGAGCGGACATTACTAATAACAATTCGTGGCAGTTTTATTATTGCATTGCCTGTAGCGGTCGACTCTTATATATTTACATATAACCTTATTTTAATTAGGCAAATCATTTTCTAATGACGTCCTCAAAGTATGTACATTTAATTTATCTAGTTGTTAGTCAGTTTTGTTTAAATAAATTGCATTGATTACAAATTAAGAATGACATACTGATAACATATTTTACAAAGCAAAAATAAATATGTAAATATATAAAATTATATAACATTTGTTATAACCAAATATAAATGTTGTACAATATTCGGCCGATCATTTCCCTGTTATCTTTAATGTATCAGTTGTGTCGCGTCACAAGTATAATGGCATCTTGTGAAAGCACAACCATTTGAATATCTCCATGTTACTGTAAGTTGGTGCGTTCGGCATGACATGAGGCCCGGGGCTCCTGGGCGGCGCGCCTCATATCATGCCGAAGCCCTCGCCGCCCTCGTTGATGGCCCAGAGCAGCGCGTGCACCAGCTGCTCGTAGGAGTCGTAGTGGGGCAGGCAGAGCTG